CTCTATAATAGCTTCAGTAACGCTGTAGAATTGGAATTACTTGCTTAGCAGAGAAAGCGAATAGTTCGATATTACTTAAAGAATTTATTTGAGTTCGTACTCACACAAAAAATTGTTAAAAAATTTACTTTCGTACCGGCAACAAAATTGTTTTCAAGGATTAAAAATGAACTTGCTTGAAAAAAAATCTTATTAAATATTTTGAGTTTTGAATAAGGGCTTAGTCACTCTCGATCTCCTAAGGTGAGTTAAGGACAGATAGTGAGTTTTTTTACAATTAGATAAGTATGCTCCACTTATCTATGCCTACCAAGAGCTTATCTAATCCAGAGGGAACTGCAATTTCGACCACGTCTAGGTCTCGTCAGGTCGCTCATCTTCAAAATCATGACTAAGTTACCTTTCTACTGCACTACACGGTCATGTATGCAAGTGGGCCATAGGGCAGATGCGACATTCGAGGCAAGTCAGGCCAATCACAACTCGCATTTAGAGTGGGATCGTCAATTAAGCAAACATCATTTTTTGCCATTTCAATCGACTATGCTACTTATTTCAGATATAAGTAGGTGGCAAATTTATTTCTTGTGTTTAAGCTTTATGACAAATGGGCATGTAGCTTTGCCCTTTTTTCTTCTTATTCAATTTTAAAACAATACCATTAATTAATTTCAGAGATGACAGTGGACTTTCGCAGAGTCCTTTTATCACTCCTTCTTCTACCGGCATCCAGTCTTCTTCGGTCCTCTCTAGCAGCCGATCAGAAGCCAACACCACCTCCTCTTGTGATCCACTTTCCCTTTCAAATTTGACCAGCTCACAAGCCAACTCATCGCCCACCTCGTCTCAATCTAGCCTCTCTGATTGCTATCCATCCCGGGCACAGGCACCTTGGACCGTATCTCCTGTACTACCTGGCAATCATACAATCCCAGTTACAGTGAGTGGTGGTGCAGGCGGTTTTGCAATTCGGTATCATACGCAACCAACCGAATCGATGTCTGGATCACTGACCCAGTTGACAGCCTCAAAATTAGTTCAGACCGAAGAATCAACCGCAAAAAAACAGTCTATCGGCACAGACACGGTCGTGGCAAGAGAAGTAGAATCGTCTGGCAGACGCAACCTGAATAGACGAATTTATACTTTCGGCAAGTCCGTGCAACCTCAAGAGTCGGACGATGAAGACCTCTTAGGGCCGGCGCCAGAGGTGCCTCCGAGGAGTAAAAAGGCCTTAAAAGAGCCGTCGATCGTGATGATCATCC